TAATGAAGTTAGAGTTGATCTTTGAGGAAACTAATAGTTCCACTGGTTTTAAAATGCAAATTTATGTGGGAAGAATACTAAGGGCACAAATTTAGAAATACTTGAATGACAATTCTTGCTCCTTGCCTGGTTTTGGCCAAGCTATTATTTGAAAGGATTGCAGCTGAATTTTTCTTTGGTTGATGTTTTTAATAGAGTTAAAAGGCAAAATTGTGTGGGTAGAGACCCCTAGTACAACTTGGAAGCATCAAGCATAAAAGTACATATCTACATCTCAAATCCCCATGTTTTGGCCTAGTGAGATCATAGGAAAAAAGCTGGAATTTTGTAATATTGAAATTAAAATGTGAAATTGTAAAGATAAGGAAAGAATTTTGAATTCAAAGAATAGTAGCATGAGTATAAGTTAATGCTAATGAATGTAAGTTGAGGCATTGAGGAAAGAGTGTTCATGCCACTTTTATTGGTGGTAGATTTTATTTAAGATAGGATTTAAGTAAAAATGAAAAGATTATGATGGAATAAGTATTAACCTACCATCACAAATACTTTAGATTTTGATATTTTCCTACACCCACTAAGGAATCATAAAAAAAAAGTAGGTAGAAGGTAATTTAGAAGAAAGCAAAAAAGGTAGGAGCTTTTTCCCATTATATGATTGTGTTTGATTGAAGCATGTTTGTTTATGTCATTTTGTTGTAGTTAAGCATGAGAACATGTATTATTTTTCACTTGTATGAATTATTATCCATGGCCATGTGCAACGGATAGACATGGGGCAATTTTCTACCAAGAGATTATGCAATAGTTAATTCAACTTATCTTTTTTTTTTTTGCCAGCTAATTCAACTTATCTATTTATATGTTATGTGCATAGTTTGCTTTTTTATCACAGCTTGTAAGGTGTTGTTCTTACTGAGTTGTGATCTTGCATAATTATATGATAGAAATTGTTACTATTGGGATTCTTTAGAATCTCACCCATTTCTTCTATGATATACAACAAAGACAAATATTTCAAAAGAAAATTAAAAATCATGTGATTGGTGAAGTGGAGGGAGAGGTAGAAGGGCTGAAGGCACCATTTTAATTATTGTATAAATTTTAGTCTAAATATATAATCTTGTATAGTTATATTTTGAATTTAAAATTAGATAATCTACAGGAAAATTAAGGCAGTAATGGCTTGCAATTAAATGCTATCAATGGAGATGGCAACTATGTAATTATATATTAATAGTTGTGGGTGTTATTATGATTCTGTTGTTATAATCCAGTTAGCATTAGGGAAATTGAATGAGTCAAGTCTTAGGTTAGATAACTAAATCTAAATATGATTTATATAATAGTAATTATATATTAATAGTTGTGGGTGTTATTATGATTCTATTGTTATAATCAAGTTAGCATTAGGGAAATTGAATGAGTCAAGTCTTAGCTTAGATAACTGAATCTAAATATGACTTATAGAATAGTTTAGATTAAATGATTTTTAGTTCAAACAAAGTTTATTTGAACTTAGGTCCTATTTTGTATCAAGAGTTTTAAACAGGATTTTAATGTAGAGCTTGAACCAACAAACTTGGTTGACTTAAGATTTGGATTTTCAAAGTGTTTAAGAAAATCTTATTCTTTAGGAGAAATATTCCAAGTTATTTAAAAAGTTCATGTCTTTTGGGTCCTTTATAACTTGTGGTTTGTCTTTTGGGTCATTTATAACTTGTGGTTTTTTTTTGTCAACTAAACAACTCTAATAAGAGACCTTGTATTAAAAAAAACCTCTAATAAGAGACCATGGGCAAGGTGTTATGTACTCAACTTCATAAAAAAAAAAATCCCTTTTACTAGAACCGAAGGCTCAATCTGCAAACCCGCCATAAGACTTGACTTGCAGCCTACCACAGACCCCCCAACCCGCAGCCTGCCACAGACTAGCTCGCCTACCTGCAGACTAGCTCGTTGCCTTTTTTTTTTAATTATTTTATTTTAATAAGAAAAGGTTTTATCTTCTTTACTTAATTTACATATAACTTTGTATTTTGTTAGAGACTTTGATTCTAAATTTGATTTCTTATTTTCTTTATTGTTTTACTATTTTTATACTAATAAAATAGTTATTAATAATGAATTATATATTTATATTTCAACTTTTGAGATCATTTTAATCATATAATTATATGAAAATATAAGAATAGGAAGAATTTAATCTATAAAAATTTATAATTTAATTTAAAAATTTTTTAAATATATATGTAACAAAAAAATTTTAAAAAAAATGGAGGTTGGCAGGTGCCAACCCACCCTTTGGTGGGACGGGATGGCAAAATGTGAGCCCACCAGGAGGCAGTCCTTTTAGGATTGGCTTGCATGGTCTCAAGCCCATAGCAGGCTGGCCTGTAACTAGTAGGCTAATCTATTTTACCACCTCTACCTCTTACCATCCAAAGCAAGGGGTATAATTAGAATGCATGCTTTGTTCCGTTTTAATATTAGAAGGATTGGAATGCAGAAGATTAGTGAGCTTGGTTCAACCTAAGAGTCTCTACCTTTGATGTTAATTATGCTCGCAAAAAAAAAAAAGAAAAAGAGAATTATTAGCACCCCTGTACTGGTAGTTGGGTTATGGTCGATAGATACATCCAACACGTAAGAATCGTCTAAGTCATCTCTACATGGGAAAACAACCAAAAAAAGACTCAGAGAAACAAAATAAATTATGGAAGATTTGATGACATATGTGTGTATGACCACAAAAGCACATGCAAAAACCTGCAAAGAGTCCATGAGAAAATACATCAAAATGCATGAAAAAATAAAAATGCTACACTATTAGTTCCAAATATCAAATATCAAACACCAATCATAAAAAAAAAAAAGCAAAGCTATTTTCTAGTTCATTGTTCATATCCTACTACATCAATTTTTTAAGCCTGTCTCTATATTGGTATGCCTATATCTCAAAAAATAAATATAAATTTAGTAGCTATAAATAGAGCACTGAAACTTTACCACTCAAAGATCTTTTGGATCAAAATAAAATTTCAAAGCATATAACAACCAACTAAAGCCTTTTAAACTAATTGTCTATATCATCAGTTTAAAAAGTATATTACATATAGACCATGTGTTTTAGAAACTGGCCTAAAAAGCTAAATAATATTTTAAAAAATGTCATCGATCACACTTTTCAAGCCATCTCCTTCATGATTAGTTTAGAAAGGTAGTCTAAATCATTTTTTTTCTGTATTAATGATATAACCCTAAAAAGAATAATATTTGAATAAAAAGGCATTAGTTCACAAATAAATGAAACTTTCATGTATAAACCACACATAATTTAACAAAATAGATTTACTCCTCTGGTTCTTAATATAAGACCTATTTAACTAACTTGATTAGATTAAGGAAGTTAGGTAAGTTAGTTAATTATAAAAAATGTGACACATTTTTCCTAAAACACCATAATCATATTTCTTAATACCTCATCTCTCTTTTTTACTTGATTATGGTTGAGGGAGTATCTATAGGGGTAATTTAGAGAAAATTGATAAATATGAGAAATGAGTGTTATATTTAGGACTAAAACCAACTCAACAATTAGGTCCTATATTAGAGACCAGAAGAATATTAAAGCACAAATATACCGCACTATTTATTTTTAAACATAAATGACATAATTTTAGGCTCAATAATAAGAGAAAAATATATAAAATCTGGCCTTGCTGGCTTATCCGAAACTTAGACTAGTTGATTAACTAGTTCATTGGTTTAATATTACTTAAAAAAAAAGACTTTTACACTAGTTAAAATAAGCCTTCGACACATGACAATACAGCCAATGTAGAAATGACTGATGCTATAAGTCCCCACTTTTTACATTGATTTTTACACCGGTGGATAATCAATGTAGAGAATGTTACTTTTGACACTAGCTATGATACCAACTGCTATTGGAAATTTAAAGAAAAAAAGGTCCACTTCTTAGACCTCTAGTCTAAGAAGTGAATATCTTTTACAAGTATAATTCGTGCTTAAATTCCAATCCAAACCCTCTCAAACTAGGGATAAAGCAACCAAACAAAAATAAACTTCGGAAGGAAAGTCTAATGCTAGTTATTAATAACTAAACTTAAAAAAAAAAAAAGAGTCAAATGCTATTTATTAACAACTAGCCAGTAAGAATAGTAACGCTAATGCACAAATAGCAAGTTACCAACTAGCATGTTAACGGAAAAAAATAAACAATACTAACTGCAAAAACATCAATGTCAACAACAAAAATGAGTGAAGAAATGAGTTACCTAAGCTGAGAGGGAGTGCATCGTGTGATCAATGGTGAAGATGAGGATCCAGATCAAAACAAGCATGGGTATTAGGATTTAGGCAAATAGCTTAGATGAGAAATAAAATGGTCACAATATTACTTATGGTGAGACTAGAATGACGATGGCAACAGAGACAGAGGGAAAGAGCACACACCAAGAGTGTTTTTTGAGGTTGCGAAACTAAGGGTGGGTGAGCCCTTATATAGCTAGGGTAGAAGATTTACCTTGGTTATACCTAGAGTCCGGTATTGCATTTACATATTACATTAGACACAATAGAGCTAGTATAAATGTTTATTACTAAATTAGTTTTCATCACAATTGGTGTAAATATTATTCAACCAAAACTCAAAAAATTACCAGTTCGTGTTCTTTAGACTAGTAAAGTTTTAGAGCTTGCTATTATCATAGTTAAACATGAGTAAAATGTGAAAATAAATGATAATAACATGAAACAAAATGGACAAATTAGATTATAAAATAGCAATATTTATATTATATATGCGATTGGAGGCACACGGGCTCTTACAAAATATTTCAAAACAAAAACGATTACATTTTTTTACAAAAAAATCCTCCTATTCCTTATTAGCTAGAGTAATAGGAGGGGGATGGGGTTTTTTAATCTTCTTCTTTGCGGAGGTAGCAGAAAGGTCATCTCAAATATCATACTCGATGCCTTCGTTATTGAGTAGGAGGTTGACTTTGTTGTTGAGGGTGTAGAAGTGAGAGATCACATGACGAGGCTGTGTTCAATTGCAGCTACTTTTGTCAGTAGCTGGTCAAATAAGGGAGGCGGATGAGGTGGAGGTGGAGGTGGAAGGGGAGAGGGAGGTAGAGGAGGAGGAGGGGAATGCAGTGAGGTGAAGGAGAGGGAATGGAAGACGCATTAGGATAGTTTTTTGCCGCTTCACCATTGTGGGGCTGCCAATAGTTGAATATAATGACCGTAGCAGGGAAGAATAGTTGGGTTCTGACCTTAATTAGATGGTGACAAGACATCGTGACCTTTCAAGTTTAGACACGTTACTTTAGGAGAAAGACAACAAAAGTTGTTCGTCTATTTAGTTCAAACACCAGTTGTTTATAATAACCAATGTTTTGAAATATAAGTTACATTGGTTAGGTTAATGTAATAAGGGTTACATTAGTTGCGCTCAAAACCAGTGTAAATATTGTGATTATTATTTACAAAAATACCATTGCCTTATTTATTACATCATTAGTGCAAAAATTGGGACAGATAAGGCGGTGTAAAAAAGAATTTTTCTAGTAGTATAACTACCTAATCCATGTTGAGTTTTAATACCATGCTTAACCTAGGTTCTTGCGTTTTAAGAAACATATGTGCCATTTTCCTTTGGTCAAATAACTATCCGTTTAAGCTGGAATGAGTTTTTTATTTTTATTTTTTCTTGGGCCTACGAGATTAAGATATTTCCGCATGCGAAAATTGGGCTTCAATGTCTCATCAAGAAAATTCAAAGTTGGGTCAAATAAGTTTTTAAACCCAAGTGTTACAATAACAAATTGTTAGGGCTGCAAATTTAGCAATGGTATATAAAGAGATATGGAGGAAAATGTAAACGTGGACATCAAAATGTGAGAGAGGAAATTAAGAAATTGCTTCAACGGTTTAGAACCACCATTAACGGCTTCATTAGCGAACTCCGGAAGGATGAAATTTCGGGCCTGAGCTTTCTTGTTTCTTAAGCAACAATTACGACGTCGTCCCTGGCCGGCGATTTCAGGTTGACTATTTAGTACTCGCAAAATTGAATGTGCTTCCCACGTTACCATCAAGGTTTGACTTATTGGGGTTCAAATTTGTCTCGGTCTTTACTTGGTTTAATATATTTCTTTTTTGTAAGCTTATTTGGTTTAATATATTATTACTATCTGTCGTACTTAAGAGCTAGTTGACTAATTTGAGTATATTAAGAAAGTTTGTTAAGTTATTTATTTATGATAAATAGGTGCTATCTTTTCTAAAATACCATTGCTAAGCAAGTATATTAGTTTTAACATTTGATGAAACATTTAACATGTGTAACTACTATAAAGACTACCATAAAAAAAAATATAAGAGACAAAGTAGATTGAAGTCTTATATTTAGGATAAAATTAAAAGTTAAACTAGTTCTTATATTAAGTACCAGAGGTAGTATATTGTAACCGAATCAAAATTTATGACAAAATATTCTCCACTCTCTCCACTCTTATCAGGCTGATGGCAAAAACGAGCGGCTTAATTAAAGATCTCTCTGTATTATAAAAATATATATAGACATTTTATAATCAAGATATGACTGATATATAATTAGACTTATGCTGATGAAAAATTCACGTGTGTATATCAGTGTGATCAATTGTATCAAGTGTTAAATAAGCATTTTTCCAAGTTACTAAATATGTATTCACTAGCACACAATAACTATTTTCTTTTAATTTTAAATAATTAAAAAAGTAAAAAAAAAAAAGCGAAATTAAAGTAACATAGTAGTAGTCTTTATGGAAAATTTGATTGTGTGCGCGTGTGACAGCTATACAAAAATGTATGGAAAAAAATTAATTTAACGTTCTTTAATTTATTGGAAAATAAATATGTTAAATTTAAAATTAAGTAATAACTTTTAGTAATTCATGTTTTAATTTAAAATGTTACTTTTAAGTCACTTTTTTACCGTTTCATATAAAAATCTAAAGGCATATATGTTTATATAATAGATGAGAATATCATATAATATTTTAATTAGGTAGGTGCAACGTGGCTTTAGAAAGCGGTTGGCATAAATATTAAAAAATTTATGGGTGAAAATAATATTGACAATTGCATGAGCACAAACAATATTGCGTTTAATTAAGTCAATCTTAGCATTTATATAGAACCATGTTGACCAAAGTTAAAATTTATTACCTCCTATCCGCCTTAATATAAGAGCTCATTTGATTTTTATTTTAGTCTTAAATATAAGACCTTATCTACATTTTTTTATATTTATTTATTTTTTTAAAGATAGTCCTTATAATAATGATAGTTTTAACTAATACACTTGATTAATAATGATACTTTAGAAAAGATAATACCTATTTATTTTAAATAATCAACTTAACTAATTTTTTTAATCTACTTAAATTAGTCAACTAACTCTTATATTAAAGATATGAGGTAATATTATCTAATTAATTTTTGATAATATATGTCATATGAAACCAAAAAATTAATTAAATTTACTGCGTGAAGGATTTAATGCCATTTAACCAAGTTATCTAAAGAATTAGTTGTCTATAGAACACACGAGCTAACGTAATAAGATCCATGTAAATGACCACACCGTGCACACATGATGTGGTCAAACTTCTTGTTATTGTTGTTAATAGTTGAAGCTTTGGGGATAAAAAAGCTAGGTATTTCTCATAAAAATAAATGTCCAATGAGAATCTTTTACGGAGATTAAATGTAAAGCTAGTAAGAAATCAAAACTTAGTGGCAAAATGTCAACAAAACGTGTGAGTTACCTAATTTGGCCATGGTTCTTTCACTATATATAGAAATTAACAATCACATTTAGGAGTATTTGATTTTAATTAACTTGAGTCATCGACCAGTATTAAGAAATCTTTAAAGTTTAATGCACTTCTCAATTCTCATGCATCACAGGAATATATTGTCTTTACATAGATATCAGAACTAATTCACAACCTTATCATCAGAAATTTCGGACACTGAACTAGCAATTTGAAGGTTTACATAGGAATAAAATGGGATTCGACACTCTCCAATAGCTTATTGCACACAATATAACTTTTCAGAATTATTTAAAAGTAAGAATACTTTTTATTGAGCGGCATATTTCGAATTGAAGTGTCAAGAAGTGTTCACCTATGAAGGCTTGACTCTTGCATAGTTTTCTTTTTTTTCGTTTCCAGGTCCTCATTGTGTGCTCATTACAGTAGTGAGCACCATGTGCTCATGAAATCCAGACCATTCAAAATATGGTTTGGATGGTTCATATTTATAATTTATAATTTTTTCAATAGTTAATTTATTTTTTAAGAAATATCAATTATGAGATTATCTTTAGTTTAAAGTATTTGTTCAAACAAAAATTATTTAAAATACAAAAACTATTTAAATTAAATTTGGACCATATAAAATCAATCTAAACAATTTAGATTAAGATGAGCACTTCTTTCTTATCTTTTTGATGAGCATGGAATGTGATCGTGGCCTTTGTTTCCTATTATAAGACATCTTTAATTAGTTTACAAGAACCAATATAATGAGAGTGATTAAGTCATTAAATTTGTTTGAAAATGATTTTTTCAAAATTTATCCTTATTTTCAAGCCGTTAATTACATCTTAATAAACAAAAAAGGAAAATTGCATCAAACTTTACGTGGGGACAATCTCGAAAAGATGTAATGAATACCCCACTTGGTTACTTGTAACAAGGATTATTCATTCATTCTAGATAATTACTTCATCTGTCTCTTATTATAAGATCCAGTTTTTTGAATAGGTTTGTCTGAACATTTAATGTGTTATTACCTATTTTACTCCTAGTTTAATGCATTTAATACATTCTTTCTTCATTAATCTCATCATTACTCTCTCACATCTATCCATTTATATATAAGAGTATATTTGGAAAAAAAATTGTATTTGCTACATATTAATTGCTTTTAATTAATTTTAACTGTTTTTTTAAACTGCGCAATTTAGTTAAAATAATCTTATAATAAAAGACGGAGTAGTAGCAACTAAATTTGTACAATTTTTGTACTCGAAATCCCTAAAGCCTTGTAAATTGTAATTTATTTAAAGAATTACAAGGGACAATTAACATGGAGTTATTAACATAAATTTTCACAAGTATCAAGATATTGTATGGTTATAATTTTTATACTCTTTATTCAAATAAATTTTCATTCAAAAATCCATATCGTTGGCAGGTCAAAAGTTGAAGAATTATTACAGTTCGATCTGTAGGATATTCTACATCATAATCACTAACGCGATGATGTGCTTAAAAGGAATAAATTATTCCTACTTATTTACGTTTGCAATGGGCTTTTAAATTGTATTTCATCCCACAAATAGATTATCTAAACACCATATGGCACTTCACCTCACCCTTAATTGATTTGATAAAAAAAAAAAAAATTCTCTGGCCTAATAAGTTGAATAAATTAAATCAAGCCGAAGTCAACTATTAATTAGGGGATTTGATGGAGGCGAGATAACTGCAATTAGAGATAAATATAAATTAAATCAAGCTGAAGTCAACCATTAAAATCACAAATTGAATTCGAGCAAATTAAATTAATAATTTAAACCACGAATGAAAATTGACTTTATTTTCCAAATACACGATCATCCATAAATAATTGTTCATGGGAAGGTGGTTTGGTATAATAAATGCACCCCACACACACAACCCAATCAGAATCAAACGAAAAATACGTGGAGGAATTGTGTGCATCTCAAATTTGTCTTGTTCCTCAAACGAATAAGTTCAAAATATTGGGTTTTTCAAATTCTTTAATATTCTACTTTTTCATGCAGTTCTCTATAAATACCATTATCGTCATCGTCATTAGCACTAAATCACAAATCAACAAAAATCCCATTGGTCCATTTAATTAGCTCTCTGATAATATGGCTCTTTTCACTCTTCAGCTTCCATTAATCTCTCAATTTTTCAATCCTCTTGTGGCTTTCTTTTCATTCTTGCTCATAGCGAGCGCTTCTTCTTGCTCAATGCCTAGAAAGTTTCTTAACTCTTCATCTTACATTTCCGATTCCGATTGGTCTCCGGCAGATGCTACGTGGTACGGAAGTCCTATCGGGAATGGAAGTGAAGGTAAAACAAAACAAATGTAAATATATTATTCTCACGCACAAATGGAGCTTTACTATAAGAAATATTATAATCTAAATCATTTGTGTGCAGGTGGTGCTTGTGGATATGGCGATTCTGTCGGAAAACCTCCATTTTCTTCAATGATATCAGCGGGAGGCTCGCCTATATATAAATCAGGAAAAGGCTGTGGAGGGTGTTATGAGGTACAAAATCTTTTTATCATTTTAATTATGTCTTCATGTAATGGAAATTACTTATGAATTAATATATATAATTAATTAATTTTGATGTATTTTTTAGGTGAAGTGCTCGTCAAATCCAGCATGTTCAGGTAACCCAGTGATTGTTGTGATCACTGATGAGTGTCCTGGGTGTGGTTCTGATCAGAGATTTCACTTTGATATGAGTGGCACTGCTTTTGGTGCCATGGCTGTTTCTGGTAAAGAAGATCAACTACGCAATGCTGGCAAGTTGGAGATTCAATATAGAAGGTAATAAGTTTTAATCTCCATGAAATAAAGTTATTAAATCATCAACTGGGAGTTGAGTCTAGTGGAAAAGGTTAGTCTCTTATAATGTGGTAAACTAATGATCAAAATTTTGTTTAAGTGATATGCCCATATTTAGTGCTCAACTAAATAGGATTGCCTTCAATAGTTAGGAGGATACTTCTAAGCAACAGAAAATTATTAAATCCATTGATGGCCAAAAAAAAAAAAATCCTTTAAAACACTACTCAATATGAAGTTATTAAGTAACACTTTTTTTTTATTACTAATTATTCAAAGAATTGATTATTGATAGAGTAAAATGACACCATGCAATTTATGAAAAATGACTGATAAAGCTTATTGTTGTTGTGTGTATACATACATAGTGAGATGAGCAATGTCTGCGAGTCATATGTCTATTATTAAGTTTTAATGATTGATTCCACTATTGTATTACTTGGTGAGAGAGACACGTGAATGTTTTACTGTAGCACGCGTGATAGATTGTAGAATTCTAGCATTATGTGTGTTTGTGTGTGTGTGTGACAGTGATAGATAAAAATACTCCATTTCGAAATACTTTTCACCGGATGTTGGTGATGCCAGATTTAATTAGCGATTACTAATAATATTTTGTCAGAAAACTATCAGTAATTTTGTCTTCATCGAGCTGAATCATATATAATTTAAAATCAACTGTATAATTCTTGCCAAAATAAGGTCCATATATTAATTGCAGAGATTTCCAACATATTTGACGGGAAATTATTATTATTATACTTGTATTCGCAATATTTGTGATTGAAAAATAGAGATTTTGGCAATTTGCAGTGTTAAATGCAACTTCCCAGGGACTAATATAGAATTCAAAGTGGACTCCGGATCAAATCCCTATTATTTTGCTGTTGTGATACAATATGAGAATGGTAACGGCCTTGCCAACGTTGAACTGAAGGAAGGTGAGGGCTCAGCATCATGGCGCCCCATGGAACAATCCTGGGGTGCAGTCTGGAAGCTCAACTCTGGCTCACCGCTTCAGGCACCGTTCTCTGTCCGGCTAACCGCACCAGAGTCACCGGACTCTCAGAACACCGTCGAGGCAAGCAATGTGATACCGGCAGGGTGGAGTCCTGGTCAGACTTATCGATCTCTGGTGAACTTCAACTAAGTTATTGTATGCCCTCCAAGCTTATCAATTAAGCTACTTCGCATACGAGAATACGCACAAGTTATTGACATAGTATAATAAGTTAGCTTATTAGTGGTTCATGTCATCACGAGAGCTAATATTAGCGTGATATATATATATATATATATATGTATGTATGTATGAGACAGTGATGGAATTTAAAAGTTAATGAATGGCCAACCTCTCTTTTTTCCTCTCTGTTTACCAACACCAACTTGTTGAGTTTGCTTAGGCTAGTCAACTGTTTCTTCTACATATATAGCACATCAATCCCACTTGAGCTTTCCTTTGCATGTGAACCACATTGATTAACTCTCACGAATTAATTTACTCTCTAATTAATATGCCTTGTCGTAAAATGGCCAACATACTTTGTCAATTCGTCTTCATTTACTAAGCCACGCTGACTTTTTGACCCTGTTGCACTTGCATTCTATGAACATGTGCGCAGTTGGAGTTTAATAACTAAGGGTATGTTTGGGATAGCAGTGGTAGAAATAACTTTTTTTCAATCTGACTTTTACAGAAGTCAAATTGAGTAAAAGTTAGATAGGGTAATGTGATTTATGTTTGGCTTGGATTTTGAAAAAAAATCAATTTGAAAAGCTGAAACTTGTTTGGATGATAAATATAAAAGTAAGTTTGGATGTAAAATGACTTAAAAGGACATGAATTTTATTAAATAGTATATATCTAATATTAGATATATATATATATATATATAATGTGACCATTTTAAAAGAAGTAATGAAAATAAAATTATTAAAAATAAGGAAATTTAATTTATTATTATAAAGAAATTATATATATAATGTGACCATTTTAAAAGAAGTATTGAAAATAAAATTATTAAAAACAAAAAAATTAAGTTATTATTAGAAGGAAATTGAAAAATAATAAAATACTTAATTAAATATATGTAATGGATAAATATATAAATTAGAAATCATACAAACATAGTATTTTTAAACTAAATACGTCATATAACTAATTGGATGCCATACTCAATACAATTTGGTCTCTGATTGTGTCACGCACATGATTCATTTGTCTTGATTTAGGTAAATTTGAAGAGGATGTCTTACTAGCTTGATCATCATTGTCTTCATTGTACTTTCAGACTGAGCTTGTATGAAATCTCTATCAGTTTCAGAATTTCTTCGAAGAAAATTATGTATAGCCATTGTAGCACAAACTATTTGGACTTGAGTTTTATACTTGTATTTGGGCATCTTCTCTAAGATGCGAAACTTATTCTTCCACACCCCAAAAGTCCTCTCTATAGCGCATCTCAAACTTGAATGACAATAATTGAAGATTTCGTTATAATTTTCAAATCTCGGTTGTCGCCTGAAGTTTGGAAGATGATAGCGCTCACATCTATACAGACCAAGATATCCTGGTGGAGTTGGATAGCCAGCGTCGACCAAATAATACTTCCCTAATAGATCATGAAATTATGTTGACATTGTAAAATTAATGCAAATATAAAATGAATTCAACGTAATTAAAATTGAAGCTAATGAAAATATACCTTGAGGTGGATAAGGGAAACCAGGGCTGGAGTTGAGACAGCAGTGTTAAACACACGAGTATCATGTGCAGTACCTTCCCATCCTGCCAACATAAAAGTAAAGCACATATCCCAATCACATACAGCCATGACATTCTGTGTTGGATATCTCTTTCTCCCGATATATTTGTCTTGCTTCGAAAGACTCACCACACATTACACATGAGTGCCATCAATTGCTCCTATTGCATCATTGAAATATGGCGAATATTGTTTTTCATTTTTTATTTTTGGATGAGTTACAAAAAACATAGGATCGAGTGGTTTGATATATTCCCTGGATAGACTAAGGCAAGCCTGTAATTCTCTATGAAAATGCCTACTTACAGTTTCTCCTGAATGTTGAAACCTTTCTTGAATCATCCTATTACATTATCCATGACCAACTATGTTAAAAAACATACCAACAATTTCTTCCACTCCCAGGTACTTAGAATTTTGTAAACCATGTTTGATTAGTTTAGAGCATAATCGTATGAACATTTCTTTTTATATTCGAAACATGTCATAGCACCGAACTTTATGGTCTTGCAAAATTTCTTGCACCCATTAATTACCTGCTTGTTGACTAGTTCTTTATGGCTCTTTACACACATAAGGCATCACATATTGACTCACCAATATAGCTACTTCTTCATATTGTGTTAGCTCTTCATCTAAAAGGGAAATCAATTGAGATCGTTCATCTTCCTCTGACCCCTCTTGAGACTGTTCATTGTCCTCTATCCACTCAAACATAAATTGATTGTTCCAATTTGCCATAGATAATCTCATTTATGAGTGTGGTTAAATTCAACTATAAGAATTTTTTTAAGTGACAAATAAATATATTTTTTGCTGTTAAACATGCAAACACATAAAAATTAGTCTAAAAACATTCATAAGTTATAATTACCACTATAAACGACACATGTAACCTAGAAACATTCAAAAACATTCATAATTAGTCAACAAGTTACATACTTTCATAGTTCCATGAACATTAACTTAAAAACATATAATAACAACTCTGGTCCGAGTTAGACAAAATAAAGTCATAACATGCGTCCTAAAATATAGTTCAAGCAGAGGGGTTTCAACCATGATGGTGGGTTGTATGCCATATCCTGTAGCCATACAACCAAGTATCCCGGCTGTCCTTTTAGTGAAACAACCATTTCTCGAACACTCTTGTGCAACAGAAATCTTAAGCACTGGTTTCAAAAATCAGAATTATTTGTAATTTCCTCAAGGGAGAGCACTTTAGCCGTAACCTCAGAAATTGGTACCTCCTTTATTTTGTTTAGAACTTCCATTCTATCCTTAGATACAGTAGCTATTCTACTAACTAAATCTGTGATTTGACTTGAGGCTGGAATTTTTTGCTTTTTCTGCCTACTAGACCCTTCACCTTTCTTCCTCTTCCCATGGCTTCTTGAACCACTAGGTGCAGTATTTGTTGTTAAGTTCACCCTTGCTATCTCATATGTAACTCCTACACTAGCCCCTCCAAGATCTTCTTCACTATCCCCTGATCCTTCAAGTAGATATGTATTGACTCTATACACACTCTCTTCGTCATCATCTTGTGTTTGAGGTTAGGTTAAAGATGTTGCCAACATGTCCTCTCCAGATGCTATCTATGACATCCCAAAATTTGAAACCCTAGAAATGAGATATGATTGATAAGCATAAGATATGAGTAAAACATGGAAACCCAAAATGGGATGAAATTGACTTTATCATATCCCTAGGGGCAAAACGGTAATTTTGAGAAAAGTTTTCAAAAATTCCCTAAAAATAGAAAAAGGTGGAATTAGGGGTTTTTGGGTCACCTATGATGTTTTGGGAGTGAGAATGACCCAAAATAAATTTTGGTGAAAATTCCTAGAAAAATAATTATTTTTGGGAAAATAGGGAAAAATAAAGGGGAATTAAAGTGATATAATTATTTTAATTATCTAAGGACTCCAAAAATTCAAGGAAAAATATGGATACACTCCCTAGGAATATTTATGAATTTATAAAATTTTTTCCAAGCATTGAAAATGCAGGAAATAAGTTATGGGGAATTTACATCCGAATTCCTATCGGTAAAGACCCGATTTCAGAGAAAATGTGAAAAAAATACTTAGAGGTCTTGAAAAATTCCCAAGGAATAAATATGGATTTATCATGAAAATAAATGAAATTTTAGAAGCCCTTAGCTATTTTTCTCTAATAGGGGGCAAGAAATCGGGTATTATGTGACCAAATAATTTTTAAAATTACCCTAGGAACTATGACTTTTCAGTTCAGCCAACTCAAGAACTCAAGGGTAGGAATTGTTTCAATAAGTTTTAATGGTTCCAATGGATTTAAAATGTGATTTTGTGTAGGACTATGCTATGGAAGTATGTTTAAATTCATTGGAATCAAATGTGGAAATTTATGAACCTAAGGGGAGGAGTTTGGCCATCTGGAATTCATGGAATTATGATTGGATTTTGATGGATATGATGCTTCCATTGAACTCCTTGGGCATTTTTGTGTAGGGTTATATGGAGGAATTGAATTTGGAAGCATTAAAAATCAAGTTGGAAATTTTGACATCTTTCTTTGTAAAAAATTCGTTTCTCTTTTGATCAGAATTTGAGGAAGGGATTTAATTTTGTAAAATTTGATTTAATATTTGAATTCTCCATGAAAAACCATGTAGGGATGGCCAAGGAGGTTTCTTGAATCAAAAGGAAAACAATTAGGCCAAAAATCCCAAGAAAAAGGGTTTAATGTTTAAGTAATAGGGAATGTGTTTGAATAATTGTTGAATGATTGGCATTGGTGTTGGTTTGTTAGGTACCTTGCCAATTCCTCAAGAAAACATCTTGAACTTAAAGGAAATCAAGGACCAAGTACCAAAAGGTAGCATTGAATTACATTTGATTGCTTTCTTGCTTACATTGATGTGTTAAAGTGTATGTGTGCAATGTGTGCCATGATGTGACTAAGCTTTATTGCAAATGTTGATTGCGATGTTTGAATTATGTTGCCTTGGCATTATGTCCACTGAATATGTGTATGATAGCTTACTTTCCATGGCATAAAAGCATGAACACATGAATAAGATAAATGCACAAAGGCATTGCACGTAGTGTTGCAACAATGCATGATAAGTGTGATTTTGTGCTACTGGGATTTCTTTGAAATCTCAATCTTATGTTTAACATCATCTAGGAGGAAGTGCAAGCAAGGGCAAAGGCAAAGAAATTATCCCAGAGGCCTAATGAACAATTAATGTACCCTAGTGTAAATTTTGGAACTTGTTATGTAATATTATGATTTTGGAAATGTTTGTTGGATAATAGCTCCTAAGGGAAGCCAAGCATGTATGTCTATGTTTAAATATGTAAAAGCATAGTAGAATGTATGTTCAAGCTTGTGTTAAGCCCCAAATGATTAAGGATGGGTAAAAAGTTATGAAAGAGCCAAAACAAAGGCAGTTAGGGGATAACCTTTGACTAAAAAGGACCAAATTTGGTGCATACGAAATAAATAGCACATGTTCGAATCTGGATTTGAAATTTGGCAGACTAATAGATAATATTTTTTAGCTTTAAATCAAGTGGTAGATCATTAAATTTGGAATTTTGTGGAAAGAGTTATGCCCTTTCAAAGTTGGGCAAAAATACTGGAAATTTCAGAATTTACCAAATGAACAGTACATAATTGCGTGGAAACTGGTATTGATCTGTGAGAAATTGATACCTATGAATATTTTTCCTATATAGAGCATTTCATAAGCTTTGCGTGAGACTTAGAACCACTTTGCTTTGATTTTTCTACGTTTAGTTATGATTTTTCAAAGTTGACTTGATTTTTAGGGGTTACATGAATAGTAACGGAAATCAGAACTTTAAATCTTGGTTTTTACCTACTTTGAGCATCGTGTAACGATTCCAAATGGTTCCAAATAACATATAATGGGGTTTAAAATGAAGGTGTGACACTATCACACCCTTGAATGTCATGTTTAATTCATGAGCAAACTTCAACCCCTAGTACCTAAACTTTTCATACTGGGGATTCTCCTACAAGAATACAATCAACAAAAATGAAAGCCTATAACAAATAATAACACAGCTCATAACTCAATATTAACAATTATATACTAGTTTCTTCTTCCACCACTCATTTGTTGCCACCACTGTATTGCTTGTAGGGTGCCAACCCACACTAGTCTCTTTGGTTAAATCAACCCATATCTTCCAATCCTTCCTCAAGCTATTGAGCCTATTTTTCAATTGCTTCCTCTCATACGATTTTCCTGTTTTTGCATTGAATGCAGAGTGGATGTTGTTCCACTCAAGCTTTGAGAATGATATTCCTTGATGATTTTTCCAGTAGATTTGCTCCATGCATTCTTTAAGTAACACCTCTATGGTGCTTGCATCCCACATTGCCTTACCTTTTTCTTTGTTCATAATTCTATTGGAAAATGTCAATCAAGAATGCAAAATGGAGTTACAGTGAACCAGAGCACTTTTCTTCCAATAATGCAGAAATATTATACAAATTCAACAATCTTAAATGAGAAGTATTTCACAAACAACACCAGTGGCTGCAAGAAGCATTTCACATGATTAAAGGGGGAAAAAAAAAGACAACCCTGCAAAACTTTGCAGGAGTACACTGTTTCATGCATATTCTTAAGTGCATTTTTATCGCTATTCTTGATTCACATGGTCCTTGAGTGAATATATATTTATATTCACTTTCCTAGATTAAAGGGATCCATACTGAAATTGGCATATTTAGAAATTGGTGGCATAACCTTACACTTGTGTTGAATATTGATTGTTAATAGTGTAAAATCAAGAGGTCAAATATACTAATAGTCTTCTTTGATAGAATAACAGCTCTATTCTGTCTTTAAGGTGTTTATTTTAATTTTAAAACATAAATAAATATTATATTAAATGATTAAAACTTAAACATGCTTTATCAATATTTAATTACAAATGCACCATGTTAAACTTGTTGAAACATCATTTTCTATCAACAAAATTAACTGTGTTAAAATAAAAAATACACCTTAAAACTAAAAAGGACTAAACTGATGATTCTTAATATGAACTTAGATGATTAAGCATCTACTTTAGGTATACATAAAACGTACTTTTACCCTTTAATATTGAACAACTTAAAAATTGACTCATTCTCGTCTAATTCACAAGTCAATGAACTCTTCCTTGAAAACCAAGAGCTTTAACTTCAATTCGGCTTTTAGATCTATTTTCCTCTTTATACTGACTATTTTCTTGCCATAGAAAACAAAAATTATAACCCAGAAGCCATGTAACCACAACAACCTCAAGAGATTTCACATCACAAACCACCAAAGTCATAATGATTTCAAAGACCATTTTTATCAAAAAGTATAGACTTTTAAACACAATAATTTATATCCCCTCGAGTGAGCAACAACCATATGAAGTGTAGAGAATCACAGGACCACTGCCGCCATCTCTTTGAAGAAATTAGTGTCAATAACAAAAACAAGGTAATAAAAAATCAAACTCCTTATATTGAATCATAGGATTTCAATGCTGCCAGGACCACACCAACCGAAGCCTAACCTTTGATGCCAATACTGCCAAGCTAAATGCAAACCCCATTGAACCAGCACTCATGGTAGAATTAAGCCAAAATCTATCTCAACCAAAATTAATCCATAAAGGAAAGCAAGACCAAAACCATCGGGACACTAACTGGAAAAATAAAAACAGAACATAAAGAAAGACATTAAACACAAACAGGGGTGACCAAGACTCTAAATGCACTACCAAAGATCACCATCCAAGAAGAAAGGGGAGGAATAGGAATGCATAAATAAACAGCACAGGGGTAGTCAAATCAGTTTCCTCCTACCCCGTTCGACAGCCAGACCAGATTAATTAAAAGAAGATAGGATCAAGAGCTAGAAACAAGAACAGATCATGCTCAACACTCCTAAATCAATAACAGCCATGGGTTTGAAAATTCTAGTAATGGTAGCCAAGAAGAAGCATGAAAGATGAGCAGATCTGGGACCAAAAACACTGATCTCTTACCAGGTAACAAATACGACTCTCACCGGTATAGATCAGGAGTACACGAGATCTGGCGGTGTGACAGAACAGACAGATGAAGAAGAAAAAGAACCATACGAACAAGAAGAAGAACACGTAGGCGATGAAGAAGTTACAGTGGACACACCAGAAGACGAACCACACAGTGATGAAGAAGTTACAATGGACACGACGGAAGATGGCAGTGGCATGATGGGGATATGGTAGAACACGTTCGGCGATGTGGTTCCCATCTTCTTTCAGGACTGCAAGGTGTGTTTCAATTTTCAAATGAGGAGTATGTGTGTGTTGTGTTTTTGTTTTAAGGGAGGTGAGAGAAAGTTCATGCAGGGTCAGGGTCAGGTAGGTAAAAGATTTTAACACCCACATAAATTTTCTAACGGTATTTTTCACCGCCCTCACCATCTAAAAAAAAAAAGCACCTTCAAATAGCTTTCCCTCAAAATGTGGGCCCAAACATGTTTTAAACTCTGCCTCTTAGCTTATTAGGTGGGGATGCACGTTTGGGGGCCCAAACGTGATCCCAAACACAGCCTAAGTTGAAGCATATACAGAAAAAAACCTGAAAATAGAAAATATTTAATTTAATAAAATATCGAGCATAATTTTTTTAGGAAAAAAATGTTGATAAAAATTGAGGCAGATACTTATTTTCCCAATCATGCACAATTTTTCACCATGAAAATAGAAAAAAAAAATTCAAATGTTTAAAATTTTGGATAAAGTTATATTTGGTCCTTTAAGTTTACATCAAGTTTCAATTTGATTTTTTAGGTTTAAAAAATACACTTTTAGTTCCCTAATGTTGACATTGCTAGTCTTATTACACTACAAAAAAACCTCATCATAGATGGAATGAGTGACAAAAAATCATTATATTATTAATTTTTCACAGATTACTGACATATATTATGTCACTAAATTCACTAATGAAATTTTTTTTATCATTAAATTAGCAACGGATTAGCGACATAATTCCATTGCTCATATGTTTTTGTTACTAAATTTATAACCATGCAAAAAAAAATTTATGGTTAAATTTTGCCATTATTACTAAAAAAAAAAATTGACTTTCAGTAAGGACAAAAATGTCACATATGGTCATTGTGTTAGCGGCCGTCACTAAAAGTGTTGGTGGTGATAATTATATGTTGCTATTGAAAGTATACTTTTAGCAACAGCACACAATCACCGCAAAAAGTGAAGCAAGTTACTTGTGAAAGGTAAATTGTCACTGAAGGTATGATATTGGCTGCAACACATATTGCCATTACAAAATTCATCTTGCTATATCATGAAATGTCACCACCGAAATTATTATCAGTAGTGACGTAAAGTTATTGTTGGAAAGGTTTTCAATGGCCAGTATATTATCACCACTAAATCACTTATATGCAATGTTTTTGTCGCCGTTGATACTTTGTTGATAATTAAAATACTTTTTATTTTTATTAATAAATTTGTTTAAACTACAACTTGTATTTCTAATAAATATCATAATAAAATACTCAATAACCAAAGTAACTAAGAACTATGATAAATTAAGCAATAATATTTATAATATTCTTGAAAACCATCAAAGTAATTTAATGTCATTAGAGAAAATTAAAAAAAAAAAGATATACACATTTTATAATTAGACAAAGAAACTATGAAGAGAAACTAGCAATGGGGACACCAGAAATAGGAGTAGATATAGAAGCATTTGATTGCATCTTCTGCATGAACATAGTGAACCTAGTTTGTATTCTTTGCCCTATCATTTGTTTCATCTTTTACTTGAGTTATGCATGCCCTATTGCAAGATTTGGTTCTACCTTTTCTCACTCCTTAAAATCTTCCATCAAACTCTTCTTACAATTAAGTGCATACATTGTTAAGTGAATTGTCAATAGATTGAGTGCGTACATTGCAACACATGATGATCATGGCACCTCAAATCAAGTACTTCCTTCGATCCTATTTATGAGCTGTAAATTTGAAAAAAGATGTGATCCATTTTATAAGCTTCAATTTGAGTTTTTCTTAGTATTTAATACATTTTTCAATGTAACCTTTAATTATTTATCTCTTATTACATTTTCTCATACATTCTGTTTCATCCTTTTTTTCATTTATTATAAGCACATATTTGGAAATAAAAATATATCTTTAACCTATTTATTGTTTTAAACTAATTTTAAGTAATAGTTTGTTATCCATAAATTAGTTATTTGAAGTTTATGATAAGGACTGGAGGGAGTATTTTTTTGCTTATGAATGTTAACACACCTTGAAATATTAGATCAAAAGCATTAGGTGGCTTTAAGTTGGCTAGGAATTTGCAAATGAGTTGTTTCTTTTTTTATGGACAATATATAAGGAGTAGGAACCTTAGAAACTTTAGTACCATATTTAACTAGGTGCATACCGCCCCTAATACTCGAGTTGATCAAATCATACCTACTTTTTATTGTGTCCTATCTTTCCAACCAAATCCATCACCCTTGACACAAAATTATTCGAAATATTTTTTCCTATATGCATCACATCAAGATTATATCGTATCAGCAAAGTTTTCGAATAAGACAATTGAAAAAAAAATCTTCTTTTTGAAATGACACATTACCCAATTGTTCTAGTTGTATAAGTGCATGATTTCCAATTAATTAAATTAAGGGAACCTCGTGTTCTTCTTTCTCATCAAATAAGGTTTTATATTATATGTAACATAACTTTCTCCTTAATAAAATTGAATGTATGTCTTTGTGGCAATATGGGGAATGTAAGCTTGCCCTTAATTGACTACCCTGAAAGGTGTACATATGCTAGAAGTTATTGATTGTCTATAACATTTCCACATGCATTATGAAATTTGATTATGAGTGTGTATCATATATTTATATCCTTACTTCCCACAGTTGTTTCAACTCCTCAATCATTGGTTGTCGGTATACATCTCTTTTATCACCTGAGCACTTTGGACCATAAGAAGTATCATCATATATTCATACAAAGCCATCGTGAAAAATTTTATGGTACGATATTCCTAAAAGGTTGAAATCTGACACTTGCCAAACCTAATTGATTACTTTGTAGATCAACAAAGAAGCTTGGGTATTGTTAGTTAGAGGTTTTCTAAGCAAGAGAATAATTAGATGTCTTAATATATCATCATTTGTGTTATTTCTTGTGCCACCTTATTTATTTAGTTGTGTCTCTTACCATAAAAAGTCTTTATAGCCTGATGTTATTATAAAATGTGTTAAGATATTTTGTTAAACTTTTTCTCTATGTTTTTTCAATTTCTATCTTGATGTATTGCACTTGAGACATGATTTTTCATTTGC